TTCAATGTTGCCAATGCGTACAATTTTTGCCAAATGCAGTAAATGTTGCCATAGCATTAAATGTTGCCATAGCAGTACAATTTTGCCATATGCATTTCAATTTTGCCAATGCGTACAATGTTGCCATATCATTCAATGTTGCCAAAAGCAGTACAATTTTGCATTGCTTCAATTTTGCCATATGCTTTTAAATTTTTGCCATATGCTAAATGTTGCCAAAATGCTTTCAATTTTTTGCCATATGCTTAATGTTGCCATATGAAAACAAGTCCATAGCAGTACAATTTTCCATACAGTCATTTTTCCATATGCAGCAATGTTCCAAATTTTTTAATGTTGCCATAGCAGTACTTTGCCATATGCATTAAATGTTCCAAATGCAGTACAATGTTGCCATATGCTTAAAATGTTCCCATATGGTTCAATGTTGCCAATCATTTTTAAATTTTTGCCAATCATTTTAAATGTTGCCATATGCATTTAATGTTCCATATGCAGTTCAATGTTGCCATATGCATAAAAATGTTTGCCTTTGCATTCTGTTGCCAATGCATTCAAGGTTCCATATGAAAAGTTCCAAATGTTTCCATATGCATTCAATGTTGCCAATGCATTTCAATGTTGCCATAGCGGGTTCCATGTTTGCCAAAAGCAGTCAATTTGCCATATGCATTTCAATTTTGCCAATGCATTCAATTTTTGCCAAAAGAAAAAAAAAATTTTGCCAATGCATTAAGTTGCCTTTGCGTCAATGGGGCCATATCATTAATTTTGCCTAGCATTTCAATTTTGCCATATCATTCAATGTTGCCATATGCGTTCAATGTTGCCATACCATTAAAATTTGTCAACTTAAAGTTCCATATCCTCAATGTGAAATTGAGTAAAAAATATGTTTTTTGCCTATAAAATTTGAAAAAAATTTTTTCCAAACCCCTTTCCATAATAAATTTTATTAAAATTTTCCTCGTTTTTTCCTAGACAAGTTCCTTGAGAGGCCTTCACCCCCTTCCCCAAAGTTAAAAAAATTTTTTTTTACCTAAAAAATTTGAAGAAAACCCCTTTTTTTTCATAATTAAATTTTTTTCAAATTTTTTTCCATCCAAAAAGCAGACCTTAAAATTTAAAAGGGTTAAAGGTTCTAGCCCTTTAAGATAAAAGGTTTCCGTTATTTGGGCCCCCTTTAAAGGGAATATTCGAATGGGGAAACCACCAATTTCCGGTTGACTTTTAAAAGGAAAAAAAGGATGGCTTTCCAGTGGTTTTTTCGGGGTTTTTTCGTTTTTTAAATTTGAGTTTTCCATAAAATTTGGAAACCACCCCGTCATCATTTTTTTTGGGTCAAGAAGGTATGGAAAGAGCCCCTAAATTTGCTAAAATTTTTAACCATGAGTTTTACCTGGACCTCAAAAAAAACCCCTCCACATTTTCTTGGGGATAGTGGGTTCTTGCAGAAAAATTCTGTTTTAACTTTGGCAATGTTGTAGCCCCCTGTCCTCATTTACCAAAACAGAAAAAAAATTTCAAGGGCCCCCCAAGTGCAACAACATTTAATAAAGCCAAACTACTACTACACCCTCTCCTGCCCTCCCGATTTTCAAAGCCTTTTGTAAACATTTTGATCATGTGGGGCAAAGGTAGGGGAAAAGTACTCTTACAAAAACTAAGGAAGACATTTCACCATGACAAACTTTCTGCCAAGTATAAACCTCATAAAAGGGCATATCCAAAATGAAAAAGAAGCCCTTGCCTGAATTTGCATTTCCAGTCTACTGGGCATCATCCCAAAGTCATAGTCTACACAATCATCGCCCATGATCTCCCACAACACTTTTAAAAAACCACAACAAACATCTGATGAATGGAGCTCATCTGCAACCTTGTCCATTTTCCCCGGGCAAGAAAAAAAACCTGGCTGATTCCCTTTTCCATTTTAAAATTTAGTTTTAGTTAAGCCTTCTAATGATTTGCACGTAAACCCTTGTAGGTTTACTCTTTATTTTTATTTAAAATTTATCTAATAGTTAGGTGCTGGGGCGGAAGGGGTTCCTTTTAATGTTCGGGCCATGGCGGCAGCACTCATCAAGGCAAGCCGGGCTATTAACCCCTTCGGGATGGGGGGTTTCTGCAAAGAGTATGTTAAAATTTTATTCGCATATGTCACACCCTGTGTAGGCTGCCTCACAAGCATGAAGGGGTGCTACGGGTTTAAAAATCAATAGGGAAAACCTTAATTAAACCAGTACATTGTTCTTGACCAATCAAGGCAATCCACCAAAGAAACAAGTGGTTCACTTGAGTCAGCTTTTTGCCAGACTTGCCTGCCTGTGGGAGTCCGGGGCACTACTCGGGCCTTTGTTTTCCCATCTTCACCATCATGTACAATTTTAAATTTTTTCATCTGTACACAGTGTACTATTTGAATACAAAAAAGGGAAATATAACATTATGTCTATCTGCGATTTGTTTGTCCAAACCCCCATTAGACCAGGTCACAGGCCATTTTTTTTCCTTTGCCGTAATGTTAACAATACAAAAATCCCCACCGCTTGAACCCCCTTCAATAACGGGGAACGAGATATGTATTACTTGTTTGCTAACATAAACAATTCATGTAGTCCTAACATTTTTGAGAGTAAACTTTTTATTTGTAAAAGAATGACTACAAAACGGAAAACGTCTCTGAATGTTATTAATAATTGTTAATATAGCTTTGTAAAAGAGAGGTAGTAAAATAGACGTAATATTGCTTTGGTCTAATCGGGGTGAATTAATTGTTATTAATCAAACTATAGAAACAATATGGGCAAAATTTTAGTTCTGTGAAATAATTTTCGAAGTGTATCGCAATAATAAAGATATAGAGTGTAACCAGTAATTTGTTTGGGATCTTATTAAATGCTGTGTTAGGGAAATCAATGGTATCAGGAAAGCACATAAAAATTTTATGTTCGCTTGAAAATTTTATTCAATAAAAACGGGAAAAATACATTTCACAAAAATTTTTAACCCAACGTGAGTTGAAGAGCTAGAAGGGGCACGAAGAGTAATTTGGCACCCATTATTCCTCAAGTTTTTCATGTCCCAAAGATACATCTTTTCGTAAGTGTCATTGTTTTAATGCCCCAAGTTCTTCCTTTTTATTTGACTGTACCTATAAAATTCACAAAATTTTTAAAAAAAACTTTGGTCCTTAAAACCGGATAGAACCCAGTGATGTAGGGATATTTAGAGTAAAGCATGTTGACCAGGTAACCATTGTTGCTAAAAACTTTGAGGACAGTTATAAAAAAACAGTAATTTCATCAAAAAAAATATTTACAATAAGTAACAAATTTTCTCGGACAATAACGGGATATGACTGCTGCGTGCCAAAAAAATTGACAGAAGACAAAGGGAAAGTAAAAATTATAAAAGGGATTTCTCTCTAGAGGATATAAAGTTTGTATTCAAGCATTTTTTTGCCCACTCAAACATGAACCAAAATTATAAGGGGTAACAAATAATGGCTCTGGTGAAATCTTTTTACAAAGGGAAAAAAATGCATAAAAAATTACAACATTCATCCCAAATAAAAAAAAAA